CGGTTCCTTTTTCCCTTTTATTAACATAAGGATAAATTCTCTTTTTTTAGAGTACGGGCTTCACATGAAAGAGAACGGGAACGAGTAGAAAAGACAAAATGGTGGTCTGTCAGTGCTTCTCTTGTTGGTGCCATCATAGGAATCGTTGGAGCAACTATAGGTATCCTAACTTTTATTGTTTTTCTCTTTGAAAGTCATCATCAGTGAAATTGTAGGAAACGAATTACGAATGCGACGAATAAGGGATATGCTTCCGATTGGTGGCGCGCAAATGAGTGAAATGGCTCGACTTTTAGGAGAGCAGAATGCGAAGGTAAGTAATGATTTTATCTGCTTTTTTAATTTGTTTTCTCACTAATGAATAGGTTTTCATATTCAAGCTAGCGTAGATGCACATCACATACCAAATTTTAAGTTCTAAAGGCTCACTATTTATTTGCATTTAGCTTTCCCCTTTAATTTTTGATCTTTTTTATTTGGTCAGTATTTAAGTGACCACTTGAATTTTGCAGATCTGATCTTTGTGACGCAGAGAAGTTTTTGTAAAGCATTTATAAATCTTGAATCAAATGGAAATTTTTTCCTTTTATTAGCATTCTTGTAGGTCACGGGTTTCATCACAGAGATGCGCGACGTTTTGAAACTTGATCAACTTCGTATTGAGAAGTCAGACCCCTCGAAATTTGAAAATGTCAGTGCAGAGAAGGTAAAAATCTGGACACAAAGGAGATCCAGATCTTTTTCCACTTCTTTTTGCATGTCTGATCTCTTTTCTCAACCATGCGTTTGGCGAAGTCACTGAAATGTCACCTATTCTTTTTAGGTAAATAACAAGATGCTTATGAAAGTGTTTCAGGCGATCGCAGCTATCCGGGAAGATAATGCTCGTCTATCCACACAGATGGAAGAACTGGCTAGACTGGCTCGGATAGAAGTCAGTCTCGATTCCGATCCAAACGCTGTGGTGAGCTTAAAAGTCCTTTGGAGTAGTCCTGCATAAAGTCCGATAAGTTCCTATGATATTTTATGTTTAGGTCTACGTTGGCAGTGATATGGAACGATTACTAGACCAAACCGAAAAGAATATCGAATCAAAGATGAAACTGCAAACTTTACTATCTGTTGTTGCGCTCTATGCAGCCATAGGTGTAGCAGTTCCCTTAGTGTACGCTGCTTTTAGGGGAGGATAATCCACGAGTTTTACCATTAATTGTAGTGATTTCTATATATCGTCTTCTATAGGAACACTAACACACTAGAAGATGATTACTGTAGTGTGAGCATTGTAACGTTGTAAAGTTCGCATTGGAGTAATAGCGATCGTCCGGTGATTAAGTGAATTGAACGCTGGTTGTTCCAGCTATAACGGGTTTCTCACTAGATTACAGTTTTGTATGTAGAGACAGATTGATAAATCTTGGTATGTAAGTGTTTTTTAATGACAGCAAGAGATTGTTGGGGAGAGCGACCTTTGACCAATGGTTTTTTTTTCAACTTAACAACAGGAGAAGTCATAATCAACATTTTTACGGAGCCATCAAGAGATGAGAGTGCATTAGCGCTTTTTTGTTGTAATTCATACTATACAGTATGTAGGTTAGATACATGGAAGCACGACTCCTTTCACTTTATTGGAAGGAGAGAAGCGTAGGATTCTCATCCATGAAACTTTGGTAGATTGTGTTCGGGACTAGGCTGCTACCTCCCGCGATTTCACGCTATCTGCATAACCAAGCGTCTTCCA